CTAATGTCTTACCCTTTCCCCTGACTGCTTTGCTTGTTTTCCTCTCAGAGAAAATCAAGCAAGAAAAATGGAGCTCATGAGTTTTGGCCATCATGTTGTTAGGTAGGGATGGGGAGGGGGTAAAGGAAAGGAGAAATAAGATAGGACAGGAAGATGGGGTGTTGGCTGAAATCTTATTCTTAAAGAAAATTTGCCCAGGGTATTACCATTTCTCTGCCATTACTCCTCAGCCTGCCTTTTCCATCAGAAGATGCACAAGATGTCAGTTTCTAGCACTGCTTCTACTTTGGGAGGCTTGTGAGGACAGGGAGGGACTTGCATTCTTAAAGGGTTGTGTACATTGCCGGGGGGGGGGTGGTGGTCCACCCACCCCTCAGTCTCCCTTTTTCCAAATTAGGGTATTCATAGTGGAGTTTTTTTTTTTTTCCAAAATTCCTTTCTACTTACCTGTCTTTTCTTGTATCTGTCTCCAGAGAAAGAAGCCACATTAATTTGTGACATTTATGGAATTATCCTGGTTTCCAGTTCTCAGTGGTTATAGTACAAACCATTCCTTCCTTGTTAGCATGCTGCTCATGTCATACTCCCCCCCCCCTTTTTTTTATTAGTAGTTTTACTCAATTCTCCTGGGAGGGAGGTCCTATGTCCCAGTATTATTCCATCTCCTTCCCCAGAATTTCATTCAAACAGTCAAAAGCCAAGCCAGCACACCACTTACCACACCACTGATAGGCCAGTGCCTCTTGATCCTCTGCAGAACATAGCTCAGCTCCTTGGCATGGCAGGCTAGGCTCTTCATGATAGGGCTCCTTTATTCCTCCCCAGGAATCTCTCTCGATTCTTAAACCCTACTGTCCAGCAATACTAAGCTGTTTGAGTTACTGTGCACACCATGCCACTCCATGTCTCCTCTATCCTCTTCTTGTGTTGTCCCCTATAGTTGAAATACCCTTCTGTGACATGTTTGTCTTCTTCTTTCCTGCCCAAACACACCTGACAATTTTGCCAGATATTGTTCACAGCTCCAGTCTTGATGACCAGCTAGCCCCAGCCCATGCTCTACTGCCAAGACAGGATCAGTGCTCTTTTCTGACCTATCTGGCATGTTCCTATCATTACATGTTATGCCGTTAATCTTTATCCTTTTGATTTGTAATTATCTGTACTTCTGTCCCTCTCCTCCAGCAGATGGGACCCCCTGAAGCAGGAATAGTTTTTTGTTTTTTGTTTTTGTTTTTTGTTTTCTGTATGACAGCACAATGCCTAGCACATAGTAGGTCAAAGAATACATAGTCGTTAAGATGAATGAAATGAAAACAAGCTAAGAGGCTTACTACTCCAAGGAGAGTAGTTCACAACAACAAAGGAACTTAGAATAATCTGCCACCATAATGGAACACCTTCAGTAAGTAGATGACACCTTTATCATAGGCAGACTGATCTCATTCTCTGATAAATAAAGAATATGAGAAATCCGAACTTTAGAGGGGAAGAAAAAACTGGTGCGAAACTCACACTGGTAGTAATAGCATTTGCTCTCTGTGCTCTATGCTTTTATTATATTTTTCCCTCACACAGCATTAAAAATGGTCTTGAATGATCTCGATCTTCTTTCATTTAGTGGATAGCCTTTAAAGGGAAAAATGGTAAATAAGGGAAAATAAAAATTTTGACATGTAGATAAAAGTACAGTTGTCCTAGCAAATTTAATTTTTAAACTCAGCTGATGGTCTTAAATTCTGTATATTTGTTATTGCTCAATTTGTTATTTGTTAAAAAGAAGGGTCACCTAAAATCATTTAATGTCAAATATATCATTTGTTCAAGTAAATAAAACACCACTAGTAATTGGCACTAGAAGTTTTATAAATGCAGTTGGTTTACTTAAATAATTTAACCAGCTTTGGATTCTCACGTACCCCTTCTGGCCTAATGAGTTGGAGTCTTCTCAAACATATGTCAGGGAATTTCTTGGGCAGAACCACCTTCAAAGAAATGGAAATGGAGGAAAGCGTTCAGAGGTATCTTTGTTTCATTTCCCGTGGAAGATTTAGCTGTACTTCTCCCATATTCATTTGTTCATAACGTTGAATTTGAATGTGAGACATGGGAGGGAAAAAATTCCATTAAAATTTCTAAGACTGTATCCTTTATACAGGAAAAAAGAACATGTAGTATTGCCAGCTGACAATTATTTGAAAAAGGTTTGTGCTGCTGACTTAGGATTTTTAGTACAGGAGATTGGAAAATGCACCTATAGTATCTGGGCACAGAGTGGTATTTTTAAAAAGAAATTAAGGCTGAATAATGTCCCTCAAAGATGTTTACTTTTTCATTATCAGAACTTGTCAGTGTTTTGATACATTTCAAGTTGAGGAATTAAGTTTGGAGAGGATATTAGGGTTTCTAATTAGCTGTCTTTAATATAAAGAAATGACTCTATTTGATCCATGTGGTCCCAAGGTACCACAAGGGTCCTCAATGTGGAAGGGGGGCTAAAGAAGAAGTCAGATTTAAAGATGAAAGGAAGGGACACTGGTTGAGGAATATTCGGAGAAGCAGAGCAGGCAAGGCAACATTCTCCCCAAGAGCCTCCAGAAAGGAATGCTTTTACCGAATCTTAGATATTAGTCTAGTGAGACTTCTGACCTATCAGACAGTAATAAATTTGTTGTCTGTGGTAATTTGTTACCGCAGCAATAGAACACTAATACAGGTACATTCAGACAATGTGATACTACACAGTCATTAAGAATCATACTTAAGAAGAACACATACTTATGGTATATTGTTAGGTTAGAAAAACAGCTGAGGAAATACTCTAGGAAAGTGAAACCAAATCTTTATATACCTATTTAGGTAAAATTTGAAAGAAAGGCTATAAAATGATATTCATGGTTCTCTATGGATGCTGGAATCACTATTTTTCTTTCTTCTTCTCATATTTCCCAAGTTTCTTTTTCAATCAGAAAATAAAATTAAATGTGGAACATGATTGACCTTAATTAGCAATGGAGATAGTTTGCTCATAGTATTTTGTTTTCCTTCAAAATCTTGGAGAGGAGATAAGCTCCAGGTAGTATAGTAAGCTCCTGTACGGTAGCGTGTACTCAGTCCTTACTTTGCCAAATTTCTACATCTTAAATACATGGAAAATGTGGTAATGTCTTTCTGTTGTATTTTTTATTTTTAGTTATGAACTGAAGTTTGAAATTTGAGCCATAAGAAATTAGAAAATATTTTGGGCATTTAAGATTAGTGTCTGAGTATTTGTATTAATGATGTAAAGATTAATTACGATTGCAGGAAGGCTAACTCTATAGGTGTAGAAGACTAAACGACTATAGGTGTTTGAAGACTAAAAGCTGAGGTGAAGGAACCTAATCTTTATGGGATCAGCTGGATACTGCCTTTCACCTTTCCTTACCAGATTCACTGCTGGCACCCATCATTGTTAAAAAGTCCCTGCCTCCCCCTCATGCTTCATGTATTTGATTTTCATTAGTGGTGGGTTTTATTGTTGCCCTTGATATCTGCAGAGAATGTAATTTAAAGGAAACTAAACCTCTATAAGCAGGATAAAACTCTCTATGTTCAAGTCAAAAGCTTTATTTGATGCCAAGAACATTTTCAAAAACTATTACTTATGTACCATACTAAACTTTAACGATCTGGTTCTGAGTCGCAGGGTAGAAGACAATTATTTAGTACCTGGGAGGCATCAGACTCCAGCTACCAAGAGGGGAGAGTGGGCATCAGTTATACCTGGGTTCAAATGAGGGCTGCGGCCTTCAGTCTGTGCTCCTGGCAAGCTACATCAATTTCTTGAGCTTCCTTTGTAAGATGGATTGTGGCTACCCTCAGTGCCTACGGTTATTGTGAAAAGGAAAGGAAACAAAATGCTTCTCCCTGTATAAGTAATCAGTAAGGGGTGGTTGTCATTCTATCTGAATGCCCGTTTACTGAGTATTTTTCCTTAAACTATACAATTTAAGAAAATTCAGTAATGGCTTGTGTGTGCAGTCTCTGTAGTCATTTCAAGGCATTTTTTTTCTTATTAGGTATGATAAAGTAACACACAAAACACACTGCTGTTGTATATGAAGGTAACTGGCAGGAACTTCTGTTTGATCTTTGTGTTTGTGATCATTTCCAATCACCTTAGTACAATGAGGATACAAACCTGCACCTAGTTTCTCCAAAATGCCTTATAAAGGGGACATTATTTATTTTCATGTGACACAGTATCAAAGAGGAACCTGGTGTTTTTTAGGTACAAGTTCTAAAGGAAAAGGCTTTGGCCTCTGAGCACTCCTAGGGAAATGATCGGAAACCCAGTACCCTCATTCTTTGGGATAAATGTTCAAAAAGCAGAAACTTTGAGGGGGAATTTAGTTCTTGGTAGGTAGGGCTGGGAGTTACATTAGAAGGTGGGGACATAATGAAAGCAAGATCACCTTGCTGGAACTTACCTTCTCTACTCCGTTTGCTTCATTATCACTCTTAAGGATTTTTTTATGGATGTGCCAAACTCAAACCTGTTACATTGAAGACTCAGACATAGTTACTACTTCTCAAAGATGGCTAGATGACTGCAACAAAACCCAAAATACAAAACAGGAACTTAAAACAGGGAAATGCTTCTCCTAACATGTTAAATCAGGAGTGGCTGAAAGAGCCAGAGTACTCTGGTAAATGAAGAATAAAAGAATTAAATTTAAATAAGCAAATGAAATATTCTTGGCTTGCTAATTTCCCTTACCTTATCTTGGGATAAATTCTTTACTAGACAATGTTGAGACTCTAGGGGATCTTGGGATAACCTGCTGATTAAAGGTTAAACTGTGCTCAGTGTTGCATACAAAACAGCATTGCATATTTTCAAAGTAAACTGAAAGTATAGTATCATTCAGAAAGTTTGTAAGTTTTCACAATCATTGTTTTAACACAGAAATCTGTTTATTAAACCAAACAAAACAGAGAAAATTATACCAGCCCTCGAATTTTTTTGAATTTTCATTTAAATAAGCAAACTCTAAATCCACACCTTAAAAGATGTTTGTGCATCTATGTATTTCCAAAATACTCATATTTCAATAAGATTTTCACATTATATTCACCAACAGTATCACAAAAGTTCTTTTTTTTGTTTTTTTTTGTTTACGTAACTGTAAGGAACAGTAATTCTAGAAACGCTAGAAGAAAAAGCATAGCAATGTCCACAGTTACAAGAAAAAGTGCACATTACTTGGTCACAATCACAGTCATTACTTGAAAAACTATATGTAACAAGTAGATAAGAAAGATCACTGATGCCTTAAACTCATTATCAAAAACTGAATGACATAAGTTTTACATGAAATAAGGCAAATTCAGGAATGCACAAAGAATTTGTAATCCAACCAAAGCTGAACAACAGAAAAATAATTGTACAAGAAGCATAAACTGATGTACTTCTCCCTAAGTATTTAAAAAATAGGCTTGCCTCAGTGCACAAAGAAAACACCATTCCTGTGTATCCAACACTATAAAATAAGAAAGAAGGGCAAAGAGTAAGGGGAGAGGTGGGGACAGTTCATTGAAAGTTGCAGCTGCATCCACTGAGAGTTCTTTACATTTTTACCTAGAACTGTAAATTATACAAATTCTATCAGGAGAGGTAATGGTCTTTTTTGGAAACTATTTCTGAAATAGAGAAAGAAAAACTACACACGAGTGCAAATTTTCAGATTGTCACTTGCAACCGCTTAACATTCAGTCACCTACATCCAATTGCTGCTGGAGGCATGCCTGTAACACAGCAGCGTCAATCCGGGGTGAGCAGCTGTAAGGAACCAAGGTGTGATTTTTTTTTTCAATGATATGTCTTTTTTAATATTAAAAAATTCTGTGATGAAAACCTCTATTGCGAAACTGCAATGTTGAGTGGCATGATGAGCCTGAGTGCAGAAACGCAGGCTTCTCTTGGAAGTAGCTCCTGATGTGACGGTTTAAAGAACTTAGCCAGGGTGTGTTTTCTAGCATTGTTATTTTTGTAGAAAGAATTTGGAAAGAGGAAAAGGCAAAGGGATATGGAAAAGGTACTTACAGTAGTTTCTCAAAACAGTTTTCTTTTAGGACCTATGAAAAAGTTACCAAAGTAAAAATGACAATTTTGAATGAAAAACAAGTTTTCTTTTTATAAAAATTACACATTTTTTAATACAAGATCCTTCTCATTGTTGTTATATCCTGTAGCAACAAGAAAATTGGCTTTTTTTCTTTTGCCAGATAATGCAGCTTTCCATCCAGTAAGTCAGTAATAATAAGTCCATTAATATTTCAGTTGGATCTTGAACTATTTTTTTCATACCACAAGCTTCTTCTGTTTTATCCTTGAATTAGGAATATACAGCCTTTTTTTGTTTGTTTTTTTTTTTTTTTTTTTTTGCCCCAGATATTTATGCTGACAAACTAAAACAAAAAGCAGTAGGCTGGACACATTACAGTATCTCAAGTACTTCAGAGGTCAGAGTTCCTTTGAAGCACCTTAACACATCACTTCATGGATCAAGGACAATGTGGCATAATGGAAGTATTTCTCTTAAGACTGTGCAGTAAGACCAGAAGCATCTCTGCTGGGAAATCAAAATGTCATTAGTGGAAACTGCAAATTTAGACCTCAGTGAATAGGCTCGTCATTTGACTCAGTTCTGTTGTAAAATAAGATTTTCCAGTTCATCTGCAGAACGCAATAAAAATGCAGCTGATTCTCGATATCCTGCAACGAGCTGTCTCACGGCATTGATTTCAGTTGGACTCAGCTGGGGTCTGGAGCTTGAACTGCTGGAGGATCCTGAGCTAGTTGCCAACTGCCTCTTCATGCTGAGATCCGTGGGTCCTAGAAAAAATAAATTACAAAATTAACATGAACAATCTTTGTTACGGTACTTTGAACACGGACATTAAATTGTTGACTTAATTGACTTACTCTTCTTAGAGATACCAAAGAGCAACATGATGTGAAATGAGTGGCTGAGTAGTCTCAGATTCCTTGTCCAGGCAATCCCCTCTTATTGTGCAAAGACGACGACCTTCTAACATGTATTTTACGGAAAATTCATTTTTAAGTCTACTTCCTTGTAGAAGTTTCTCAGCAGTAGCTAAAATGTTGAGACTTACAAATTCTTTGTGCTTGTACCATTGGTTAACAAATAATTTTAGATTCCACCAATTCAATGCAGAAACATCCTAGATTGTGATGCTAATGATCCAGATTAGGAATTCCTCCATTTAGAACAAAGGAAATTTTGGACAGGGGAGTTCAATGACAAGGTTATAGTTTCAACAACTATTAAGTGGCACAGTAAGGATGTGAATTGTGGATTTTTTTCATCTCAGGCAAATACTGTTCTTCTATTAGGGTGGTTAGTATTGAAAAATATTAGACTAAAATTAGAATTTTAGAAGAGTACAATGGGTAAGTGATCAGTAGAACAATTCTGCAAAAAAAAAAAAAACAGACTAGGAATAGTGCTTTAGGTAATGCTAAAGCTGCTTCTATATTTATTTGCAAGAAACATTTAGGTGTCAAAAGGTTTATTACATATACATATATTACATATAATTAAATCAGATAGATCTGCTTTTTGACAACATTTTGTCAAATTTTGGGGGTAAATTTTTACTTTAAAACAATGTTCGTTACTTAACACACATCTGAATTAAAACAGTTTAGTTACTTAACACAAATGTCTGAATTAAAGATTTTTAAGATGCTTTACATCAATTATTCTTGGATTATTAAGGTTTTTTATGTGTTATTATGGTTTCTAAGTGTCTGTCGTAATAGCAATTACTTAATGAAAGTAAGAACTATAATTATTTGCAATGACTAATGCATTTCAAATCCTTGAATAAATATGAATAAATGTGTACACAATTAAAGCCATGCTCAAAAACTGTAGCGATGCTCTAACTTGAAAGTATTTTAAAAATTTTTCTTAAATGTAACTTTTCAGATAATGGTATTCATTTCATGAACTGAAACAAGGGATGCTATTTTATCCTGTTAGTTCTTTTTGAGGCCTGATAGAGACAGGTCAAGACACAATCCCCCTCACCCTTTACCCTGAAGGGAGAAGACTCCTGTCAGCTTGGAGGCAAGTGTCCCATGAGACTCAAACAGTTTCACTTGTAATTTAATTAGGACAGAGACAAGACTAGCACACAAGAACTCTGACATTTGAGATGGACTTATTTCCATTTCTGCCACAGTCTTTCAGAGGCTTGATTTTCTAGCAGGAGTTAGATTCCATTTGTTCTGCTCTTTACAACATTATGATTCTGACATAGCAAGCTGAAAAGGGAGAGATGTGGGGATGTCACACTTGGCAAATACGAATTAATGAACAAGTATTCAAGCAAATCATTAACAGCAACTATCTTTAGTTGCTATTAAAATGCTTTCAACTATTTGGAAAACTCTGAGTGGATTAAGAAAATATGACAATGGGTTCTGGTTTGTGGATGAACCAACTTTAAATTTGTCTTTTTCCCCCCTTTATACTCAAGAATCCCAATACTAGTACAAATCTTTATAAAAGAAAACAGAAAGGATTTTCTTAAGTTATGTTGATATGTCATGTCTAATTGATTATCCTTATTTTATTAGAAGTTGTAACATTTTGTGATGTTTTGCTGATAAGCCAAGTGGCTGGTTGACATCTTTAACTGGAATTTGAGAAGGGCTGAAGCTAGGGCTCAGGTTCTTTTTTGGGATAAAAGAGACTATGATTTCATTCTAACACTGCAGTTTATAGGTTATTTTCTACCTGTGGCTCAGGGGCAGAGGCTTTGAAACTTAAGATGTGGCTTTCAGTTTCTTTTTTTTTTTTTTTTAAGATTTTATTTATTCATGAGACACACACACACACACACACACACACACAGAGGCAGAGACACAGGCAGAGGGAGAAGCAGGTTCCATGCAGGGAGCCCGACATGGGACTCGATCCCCAGTCTCCAGGATCACACTGCAGGCTAAAGGTGGTGCTAAACCACTGAGCCACCCGGGCTGCCCTTTCACTTTCTTTCAGATTATTAACCTAGACAAATTCTAGATAGCTCAGTAACACAGAAGCAACTCATACCATTGTTATTTTTCTGGAAGAAAGTTGACTTCATTATCTTGGTGTCTTTTGGATACAGGATCAGAATTAAGTATAATAAAACTGTAAGGAATTCTTGTTGCTGAGTATTTATTATTCAGGTCTTCAAAGTTAAGAGGTTGAGTAGGGCAACAAAAATATTTTAAATAGTCATAAATGAACAAACTATTTGACTACGGACTACTCAAACAGCCCCTTGTTTGTCACTAGTATTCTTATCTTCGCCATTCAGACAATGTCATACTTGACTGGCCTAGCTTAACCCAAACGACAATTGATAAAAAGTAAAATTTCAAATTTTATAAAGATGTTGAATTTAAAGAAGTCCAGAAAAATATTCTCGGAGATTTGCTCAGATCACAAAACCACTAAAAAAATATGGTTCTGGAAGAGTGGAACCAGTTAACCAAACAAGCAATAATAATGACACAATAGATGTGTCAAGAGAAAATGATTTGAATAACAATGTTAAAGCAAATAATCAAAAAACTTGGCAGGGCCATTTGAAAACCATAATTAGGCAGACCTGCTTTATTCTGAAACTTTGAGTAAAAGATATTTCATGGTAACATGAAAATATTAGAAAAATTAAGATCCACTTTTTAAAAAAGGTTTGGGGGCATATTTAAGTCATAAGTAAGTTGTAATTAAATGAAAATGTATATCCATAACTCATATTTGTTGATATATTTTTAAAATTATTGTTTACGTACAGTGTTAGTTTCAGGTGTATAGCATAGTCATTTGACAACTCTGTTATGCTATGTTCTTTTTAAGTTTTTACTTAAATTCTAGTTAGTTAACATCTGGAGTAATATTAATTTCAGGAGTAGAATTTAGTGATTCATCACTTACATATAACACCCAGTGCTCATCACAAGTGCCCTCATTAATACCTATCACCCATTTAGTCCATCCCCTGACCACCTCCCCTCTAGCAACCCCTAGTTTGTTCTCTATAGGTTAAGAGTCTATTTTATGGTTCACTTCTTTTTTTCTTCCTTTCCCCTGGGTTCATCTGTTTTGTTCCTTAAATTCCACATATGAGTGAAATCGAAAGGTATTTGTCTTTCTTGGACTTATTTTTGCTTAGCATAATACACTCTAGCTCCATCCACATCATTGCAAATGGCAAGAGTTCATTCTTTTTGATGGCTAAGTAATAATCCATTGTATATTTATATCACCTCTTTATCAATTTATCAGCAATGGATATTTGGGCTCTTTCTATAATTTGGCTATTGTTGATTATTCTGCTATAAATATTGGGGTGCATGTGCCCCTTTGAGTCCATATTTTTGTATTCTTTTGATAAATGCCTATTAGTGTAATTGTTGGGATATAGGATAGTCCTATTTTTAACTTTTTGAGGAACTTCCATACTGTTTTCCAGAGTGGCTGAATCATTTTGCATTCCTACCTACAGTATTAGAGGGTTCCTCTTTCTCTGCATCCTTGCCAACATTTGTTATTTCCTGTGGTGTTAATTTTAGCCATTCTGAAAGGTATGAGGTAGTATCTCATAGTTTTTGTGTTTCCCTGATGCAGAGTGATGTTGAACATCTTTTTGTGTGTCTGTTGGCCATCTGGATGTCTTTGGAAAAAAAGTTTATCCATGTCTTCTGCCTATTTTTAAACTGGATTTTTTTTTGGGGGGTGGGGAAGGGTGTTGAGTTTGATAACTTCTTTATAGATTTTGGATACTGATCCTTTACCAGATAGGTCATTTGCAAATATCTTCTCCCATATAGGCTGCCATTTCACTATAAGTGTAGCTAGCATCCATCACCAAACAAATCTATTACAATCCCATTGACTATATTTTGTAAACTAAATCTTTAATCCCTGTGACTTACTCATTCCCTAACTGGAGGCCTGTATCTTCTACACTTCTTGAACCATTTTGACATCCTCCATCCCTCTAGTAACCATCAGTTTGTCCTCTGTATTTATGGATCTGTTCCTGCTTTTATCTGTTTTGTTTTTTAGTTCCACAAACAAGTGAAATCATATGGTGTTTGACTTTCTCAGGCTTATTTCACTTAGCATAATACCCTCTAGATCCATCGATGTGGTCTCAAATGGCAATTTCTCATTCTTTTTTGTTAAGTAACAGTCTATTACACACACACACACACACACACACACACACCCCACATTCTTTATCCATGCATCTATTGGCAGACATTTGGTTGCTTCCATATCTTAGCTGTTGTTAAAAATGCTGCAATAAACATAGAAGTACATATATCATTTTTCAAATGAGTGCTTTTATTTTCCTTGGGTGGATATCCAGTAGTGAATTACTGGATTATATGGTATTTCTGTTTTTAACTTTTTGAGGAACCTGCATATTATTTTCCATAGTGGGCACATCAAATTACATTCCTACCAGTAGTACGTGAGAGTTTCTTTTTCTGTACATCTTCACCAACACTTGTTATTTCCTGTCTTTTTTAGTCCAGACAATCTGACAGGTGTGAGGTGATAACCTCATTGTGTTTTTTGCATTTCCCTAATGATTACTAACATTGAACATCTTCAGGTCCTCTACTTATTTAACATTATTTATTTATTTAACATTATTTAGCATTGAACATCTTTTCAGGTCCTCTACTTATTTAATCAGATTGTTTGGGGGCTTTTTGAGTTGTGTAAGTTCTTTACATATTTTGGATAATAACCCCTTATTAGCTATATTATTTGCAAATGTCTTCTCCCAATCAGTAGG